TTTTATCCCTTAATACAAAATTTTGTTTTAATCCTTTGTTGTAGTTAATAATATCTCATCCAAAAACAAAATTTTTCCTTTAACCTTTAAAACATATATCCTCACTTTCAATTTTTAAAATTCATTCAATAGTTATCATTAAATCTTAATAACATGAAGAAAACAAAGCCCAATAGTTTATCAAAACAGATAATGAAGATTAATGAAAGATTTCATAATTTTTTTTTATTTTTCTTACGTAAACTTCAACTTCAAATAACAGTGATCAATATGATATTTTTCTTAAATAAAAAAAAAAGCATATATTCACCTTTAAGAGATTAACTTGATTATAACTTTTGATTTTAGATTCTCAACTTGATTTTTTAAACTCCCTAATCCTAAAACAATTGAGGAAGAAGAACTCTCTTTTTTCATTTTCTTTCCTCTTAAACAAAAAATAGCTAGGTTTTATCTCATAAAATAGCTCAACCTCTTTTTTTTTTTTTTCTTTTAATAATTAATCTCTAAATTAAACTAATAAATTTTAATAATAATTTAGCCCAATTATCATTTGAAGCAAACCAGAGTATTACATACTCTAAGGCCTACTGCTCTCCAAATTATGATTCTTAGCTTTAATCCTTAGCCCTTTATCTCCTTTTGGACAAGCTCAAGCCCCATCACGACATCAGTTAATTCTACTAATCTTCTGCTCAGCAGAATCACATTGTACCCCAGCTCCTCCATTGTTTTCCATAGCCCCTTAGCTTTGACCCAGAAATCAACTACTTGTAGCAACTGGAGTTGTTCCACTGCTTTTTCAAAAAGTTGATCCCAACCTGAAATCAAGCTTTTTCTTGTCAGCTCAGAAAAGCTTCTTAGCTGAAAGGGGAAAAAAAAAAGTGGGCAATGAGGTACACCCTTTAACATTAATTCTTGAAACCAATCTCTGCATGATAGTAAATCAACCGTTAATTTACCAATTATTTGATACCAAGAAATTATTGGAATTAATTAATGCTCGAATTTTGTTTTTCATGTGATTTTGGTTGCTATCCCATTGATAATGAGTCTATGATATCTAATTTTTCATGTGAATAACGTGAACTTGATTTTTTAATAATCAAATGTAATTAAGAAAATATTAAATCAAGGAACCTTGGATCCACCAAATCTAAGCATTATCCGTATATAGCCAACCTTCTGGTGCGTCTTCCACTTTCTAGCTTTCTATTTTAAAGATGCGCGAAAACTACTTACGTGACATATCAAATAAAACTCGTAAGTTAGCAATTTTTAAAATATGTATCTAAAATGGTACTTCAGATATCTTAATCCAACTGGTCAAAAGGATTCCTCTCCTGAACTATATTTTGTATGCATGTCACCATCGGTTATATAGATATTGACATTGTCAAGTTCTCGAATTTAGTCATAATTATAAAGAGGCAAATTTTTGTTTTCATTTCATGGCTAATTACTTGAATATTGAATATTTTGAGATTGTTAAATATCATACTCATTTTAGTGATTTTTTTTAAAGAAAAAGAGAATTTCATTCATTAGCAAACTGCAGAAATACAATCTTTTCTAATAACATCATTGATGATGGGGGATACTCTTCCACCCAGAACTTATCTTCCTCCATTTCTAAAGCCATCCTAGCTAGTATGTGTGCAGCCTCATTAGCATGGCGCCTTGCATGTGATACCTCAAGCTGGTGAAAATCAAGCTTCATTGCTCTTACTTCATCCAGAATGTTACCCACTATAGACAAATCCTTGGTTTCCATTCTCAGTTTAGAGATAATCGCAGCTGCATCTCTTTCTAAAATTATGGATGTCAATTCCAACTCCCTGGCAAACCTAACGCCTGCCACAGCCACATATGCTTCGATCACCTCAGCCTTCCTTAACTATTCCACTCGTTTTGATATTGATCCCATGACTTCCCATTTGTCGTTCCTTATCACCACGCCAATGCCACCCATACTATCAGTGAGGTTTAGCGCCCCGTCAAAATTAACCTTTGCTATGTTCGTTAATGGTGGTTCCCAACGTATAACATCTTCCCCTTGGCTAGCAGCATTTTCCTAGTTCCCTTCGAATTCCTCCAAATAATCGAGTGCTAACGTTGCCGTTGATTGAGCAGTTCTGGATTCATTCTTCTTGATTATCAGGTTCCTACCATGCCAAATAGCCCAGCAATTCACTAATTCCTTTTCGAAGCATTCATCATTCATAGAGCCTGCTAAACTGGTAAGCCACCCTCTGTCCTCTACATGTGATGTGCGGGTCCACATAAATATTCCATTCCAGCCAAAGACCATGTGTCCTTTACCTTCTCACAGTACCGTGATGCATGTATAACCGTTTCGTCGTGCAATCCACACTAGGGGCAGACTGCATTGGTTTCGATATTGGGCTCCCCTAAGTTGCACAAGACCGGCAAGATGCTGTGATTTAGTCGCCAAGCAAAGACTTTAATTTTTGCTGGCACTCCCATCTTCCAGATTCTGTTCCAACAGTTTGGTCCATGTCCCCCTGCAGTAAAGATATTTTTGGTCAAATGTTTCAATAAATTCAAGTTTTGAAGCATTGGACAACGAGACGGGGATTGATTCAGTAAAGATATTTTCAGATATTTGAAACCGGCTAAGATTAGGAAGAGTGAGGTCCAAGTCTGATGGAAGACTTCCATGAATTCGATTCTCAGAGATAGAAAATATAGCAAGGGAAGAAAGATCATTCAGGGAAGGAGGTATTGATTTCCAGCAAGTCCTAGAATCTGGGATGTTCCCTCCGAAAGCATTATAAGAAGCAGCTAGAGCTTCTAGGGAGGAAACGTTTACAAGAAAAGATGGTATGCCTCCAGTCAAATTATTGAAGTGTATCGCTAGATGTTTGAGATTTGACAAGGAGGCAAACTCCAAGGGAAATTTCCTTACGAGCTTGTTCCTACCTTCAAGGCAAACTCCAAGGGAACAATGGGACAAGTTGACAGGAATTTGGCCAACCAAGGAATTGTTGCCCAGATGCAGAAATCGCAACCTGAACGGACGACAAATTTCCTTGGGAATTTCACACTGGAGGGTGTTGTTTTCGAGCCTGTCTCCTTAAAGAAGCTTAGGTTGCCAATGTAAAGGTGAGGGGGAACCAACCAATCTTCTTGACCCAGGTTTAAGATGGTCACTCTTCTATTCCTGGGACTTCATGTTATTCTTTCCCATTGGCAGAAATCTTTAGATTGATTCCACGAGCTCATCACCCCTTGAGGATCCTGCGTGATTTTTGACTTGAAAGCTAGCAATGCAATACGATCTGTCTGGTTTCCAGGATTGGCTAATCACAAAATTGGCAGTGGCAGCAGAAGTTGTTGCAAGCAACGGCATAATGCTAAAGAACAGAACATCTAATTGGCAGTAAACAAAGGGAAATGCCATTGCCCACATTATGTAAAGTTTAAGGAAAAACTACAATTGCAATTCCCTTTTTTTTTTTTTTGTGAATTTTCTTATTGTTTTGTTAGATATTTATAGGGTTGATTGGTACAAATCAATTACTGGCTGAGCTAACTAAAATTATAAACTTGACCATGGACAAAAAGTAAATACCACCGTGTCTTGGAGGTGAAGAAAAATGGTAACAAGTTTCTAGTTTCGTTGACAAGTAAAAAGTTCAGCTATATTTGAAAAAGAAAAAAAAAGAAAGAAAGAAAATTTGCTTCAGTGATATAAAATGAAAACTTGATTCCCTAATGTGTTTACTTTGATTGTCGGTATCACGTGGAAGTCTGTAAGGGACCTTTTAGACTTAGCCAAAGGAACAAAGAACTGGGGAATCTAACCTCGAAATGGCAATGAAAAACGAAGAAATGGGTCTTTCTGCATTTTGGTTTACCTCCACCTGATCTCATGAGTGTGAACTCAATTTTCGTCGAAACTCAAATAACTTAAACGAGATTATCAATTTCAACAATAGAAAGCACCCATTAATAGCCATGGTTATGTTCGCTAGCATTATTGATATAATATGATGTATTAAATATCCAATTTAAAATCAATTGATAATAAATAAAGAATTCTAATCTAAACATAAGATCACATAAAATTGAATATTTATTAAATGTGAGATAATTCATTTTAAAAAGATACACACTGAAACTATGCAATAAAATCCATGTTAATAATATAAACAAGAATATGTGCTAGTGATTTTCCTTCCACATTTTTAATCTATGACAAACCATATATGTGTGGCCATTTTAATTCGGGAGTATGATAAGGTTTTTTATATATTTTTTAAGTTGTTAGAAATTGAATCTTCATCACGCTATTATTGATTATAGTAGCTTATTCATGTTGACTTTTCCGTGTCTTTCTTAGGTTGGGAGGGTGAGGCATGCACAATTCTTCCGCTGGTTTCGAGGCATTTTCCGCAATCACACCCTCATTTATGCCAGTAAATTAGAATGTTAGGCACGGGGTACCATACTTGATTCTATAATGGGCAATGCCCATTTGGTGATCAATTAAGTTAAGTTTTAGCAGATGGGAATGATTCCTTCTTATTCATCTATATTCTTAAAAGATATAATTCCATCTGGATTCAAAAATGGATTAACTAAAAGTTGGATCTTGTCTGCTGCTTTCATATGTCATATGTCATATGTTGTCTCTGTTTCTCGTTCAATCAAGTAGTTGCTGATTTGTTCAAGCTTGTAAGCCATAACTCAAGTCAGAGTTTTCCGCCCTTTTATGTTTATTTTATAACTACACACACACGTACATGCACAGATAAATCTAATACAAGTTTCTGGTATTGTCCCTACTATTCAGAAAGCACGCCTGGAGATATGATGCATGCATTTCATTCTTTCCCGTCCTTGTTAGGGATAACAAAACCAAGTTTGCTTCGTACACTTCATGAGAATTTAAGTAAGACACATAAATCTCATATGCAAGGAGAAATTAAATAAGAGATAAGACGACCAGCAGAGCAGTAGCTTGCAAGCCAAAGCTAGGCTGTGCCAGTAACGCCCAAATCATTTTTGTTATCATCTTTGGGAGAGCCAAAGATAGGGCCACCTTTGCCAGTGGGATCTTCCACCCAAAGATTTAAATAACATTCGGATAATAGTATAGCGGCCGTTATTTCACGGTTGCATCATCATCTATCACTGTTATTGAAGAAAAAACGAGAAAGAATTTAAATCTCATCGGTTGATGGCATATCGCAACCGCGAATTGTAGCGTATTATTGAATAGCGGTTTGCTATTGCTAGCGACTTCGTTTTCATTCAAAAAAATTTTTTTTAAAAATTTCATTTGATTTTGTTTAAAAACTTAAAATAAAAATAGCAAAAAAATAAATAAATAAATAAATTTACAAATTCAGGAAAAAAAACTCACAAAATTTAAACTTCCAGAAATATCAATTCTCTCAAATTTAATTTCAATCAAAATAAAGTATATACAGTTTAAAGTAAACAATTAATTCAAAACTCAAATAACTTTTTTTTTAATTTTTAGTTTTGTCGTGATTTGTGTGTTTGGGATTGGATTAGACTATAGTGCATTACTAAGAGAGAACAGGAGTTGCTGGGACTTAAAATGAGAGACAAGAGATAGAGAGTAAAACTTGATTTTGACGAAGACGAACAGATAGTACACACTAAAAAAAAGAGAGCTGAGAGATGAGGATGAGGATGATGGTTTGGAAAAAAAATTATTGAATACAAGATGAGGGAATAAAAAGTTGTGTGAGTCTGTACAATTTAGTCAAGAGGTAGAGGAAGTAGACTTGAGGTTATTGTTGTTAAAGATTGCCTTCAATATGGAGGTTGTCAAGTTTGATTTACTGTAGGCACATACAAAGTAATTCTCTTGGCCTATAAATAGTAATACTCTTGCTTAATTTATGGATGTCTAATCACTTATTAGTTGATTTATACATAATATAGTTTAGTAACAATTTGATGAGTACGATAATTAAATAATTAAATATATCATTCGTTATGATTATTTATTTTTCATATGTTTATTTATCTCTTATTATTTTCTAATTATCATATGAATAATTTTTTAAATACGAATATTTTACTATAAATATTTTTTTTAAATAAATAAAACACATATATGATATAAATTACTTTAAAAATCATAAAATAAGAATTTTTATGATTAATAATTAAAATTATTATATTTTATAGCAAGTTTAGTAAAATTTAAAAAAGATTCAAGATTGTGATAGCTGCAATGACCGTGAAAGTCTCCATTATATTTGTGACGCGATCGAAAACGTGATTGCTACAATCCCTACTTCCACCTTTTCTTCTAGCTTATCAACCTGAATGGCACCCTCGTCTTCCTTGGAACGCAGGTCCGTTTTAGTCTTTTCTCTCCGCCTTCAACTGATTCATATATTGTTACCGTCTTCGACTCCTTTGGCAGTGCTCCTTGTGCCTCTGACATTGTTACTCTTTCCCTTGTTCTAATAGTTTAGAGCAGTATATAATTGACAAACATATCCACAAGCTGTCGATTTTTATAGTTGGAAGGGATTTTCTGAGTATAGACTTGAATTCTAGACACGAACACTTGTAGCAGAGAGGCGAAGTAGCTTTAAACCCACGGATGCCTGATAAGTCTGCCAAACAATGCTTCTACGTGGGAATCATGCAACATTGTTACTTGGCATTGACTGTGATGAACCATCAGGCTGACTAATATATACTTCTAGCCAGGCAAAACTTTACTGCTTTTCTTGCTAAAAGCAACTTCAAAACTATAGTTTTGATTTGCTTTTTGAATGAGTTTTACAATTAGAAATGGAGAAGAGAAGTTGGGAGAACAACTTGTTCATATATTCATAACTACCACCTATATAATTTGGTTATATAATTGAATCCCACGCTAAATTTGAAGGGAAAAAAATCGAACTCTGTGGAGGAAAAGACCGACTTTTTTAACAATGTAGATTTTAAGTTGGAGCTAATTCATAAAATTTAAGAATCCTTTTTGCTAATTCTTCCGGATGAATCAAGTAGACAAGCATTCATTCATTAAAAGGAAAACAAAATTAAAATACAGGAGCTTGAAGTTTCTAACTTGTATCACCTGATCTCCCTTGAAATTAAAACAAATTACAGTTTATAATATCATTTATAATTTACAGAGTTTTTATGATCTCTAAATTATCCAATCAAACCCAAATAAAGGCCCAACAGTAAGCCCAATAAAACCCAAAAAAAACTGCTCAAAAACAGGACCCTTTAACCCAACAAGTTATCGCCTTTTTCATATTAGCCTTCGTTGAAACACGGATTTCAGACATCCAACTTCCACAGTTATCTCCTGTTTTTTGCATCAAACCTTTGACATCTCCGTAAGACCTTCCCAGGAGCAAAACAATGGCAATATTCCCCGACTCCTTCATTCAACGCGGCGATGACTCCGTCGAGTCAGTCCCACACCAGGAAGACTACGGCAGCGGCTACGCCGGATACGACCCGTCTCAGCAATTCGAATCTTTCGCAGCCGAGTTGGACCCGGCCAAGGACTCGAATGATGACGTGTTTGCATCGCAGCCGTACACGAATGGGGAAAGATTTGGCCAAGATTTCGGCGGGTCGGCATGCCCGATTTTGCCGCCGCCATCGGAGATGGAGCCCGAGGAAGGGTTTGCTCTCAGGGAATGGAGAAGGTTAAGATCCATTGAAAGTTTTGATTTTTTTAATTATTTCGTTCTTTTATCGTTTCTATTTTTGGTTACGGAAAATTTAAGGAAATTAAAAAGTTGAAATTACAGTTATGATTTTGGCAGTTAGGTAGTTTAAAAACATTAAAAGAAAGAGATTTAGTGAAAAAAATTTTATTTTTTGGAATTCTTTTAATTAGTTTGGTTAAGTTACAGTAGGGTTTTAAGTAGGAAAAAGTTTAGAATTTGGGGGGCAATTTCGTGAATTAGAAGGAAAGGTTTTAGGGTTTCGTTTCGGAATTTCTTTATTTTTAAAGATTGAATTAGGACGATATTTGGAACTTATAATTTCTATATTTTTTTAAAATATTCTCCTCGTTTTAATATAATTCATTTTCATAATTTTGATTTAATTTTTTGAGTAATGTTTCAATTTTCTTAATGAAAATGTGTAAAATTTTGCAAATTTTATCTGTTTAAGTGGTATTCATATTGGACATCATTACTGTTGTAATTGCTTAGGGAAAATGTGATTCGGTTGGAGGGGAAAGAGAAGAGGGAGAAGGAGGTGTTGAGCCAAATAATAGAAGAAGCTGATCAATACAAAGTTGAGTTTTATAGAAAGAGGGAGGTTACCTGTGAAAATAACAAGGCTAATAACAGGGAAAGGGAGAAGGTATTTTTCACTTGAAGCCGTATGCTAATGCTTTTGTTGCTTTTAAGAATTTTGTTACTTATCTGAAGCAAAATAATAAATAAAAATGAATGTTGTTTTCCTTATTCCAATTTCTAATTGTACATGAACCTATAGGTGCCAAACATTGTATGCTTTCTTTAGTCAGTATTAAACTGCATATATTGATTTATTAGGCATTTCTTCTTCTATGTTCAAACTTTGAGCCGGTAACATGCATTGTGAGGGAGACATTCTTAAGTGGTATGATCTCAATTGTCTTATGGAAAGAAGTTTGGCTGGTAATTGATAAGCAAATAGCAATGCATTGTCAAAACTCAAATGTGTTTTTGAAATTTGCTAGTCATTGTTTTGTAGTTGGTTGGATTAAACTTGCATATCTTGAAGGCATTTGAAAATTAAGTTTCTCTGAACTACCATTTCCAAGGCATTATGAAACTTGTTCCCCAAGTTAAAGTAGAGTTAAACTATAATGCTCTCACATAGCAGTTGAACATTAAGCCATGGTCTTTACTTATCCCTCCAAACATCTTTAATTTCCTAACGTGTGTTTTCTGAAATATGATTTTTGTTGCAGGAAAGTGTGTACTGTTTCTTTCTAGATAAAAATTTCATCTTATAGAGATTCCATATGATGTTTTTTGTTAATCTGCCCAATAACATGAAACACCAAGGGTGAGAGGAAAAAAGTGATGGCACTACCTAACCCTTAGATGCAGTTGATGATAGTCAGAACAAGGAAACATGCTATGTTTCTATCTATCTCAACATGCACATATATTATGTTGAATTTTCACTATACTATTTGTGAGCTGAGCAGCATCACAGATATTAAATATTTGTTCACCCAGGGTTGGTCCCACTCTATCTAACTGGCCTATCAATTAAGGGGGTATTGTTACTTGTAGATGTGGAGTAAGTAATTGAAACTACAATGTGCTTGGCCCATTAAATGACATCCTTAATTCTGGAAGTTGATTAGCGGGGTAACTTGCTACTCATTTTGTTAAACTGGTACTGTCACCTGCTAAACACAGGTTTTTTTTTTTTTTTTTTGTGAAAATATGAGGACTGGGTTTGTTGGTTTAGATTATAACATTCTTATAATTTACTTAAGGTTTGTTCTTTTCCTCTTCAGATACAGGGCAATGTGCCAATGCCATTATAATTTACATATCTTCTTGTGTTCTATGTGTCAGATAGTTGTAGCTAACCAAGAGAAGTTCCATTCTGAGGCTGATAAGCATTACTGGAAAGCAATCGCAGAGCTCATTCCAAATGAAGTGCCAGCTATAGAGAAAAGAGGAAAAAAAGATAAGGAGAAGAAGCTTTCCATTGTTGTTGTCCAAGGTCCTAAGCCTGGGAAACCAGCAGACCTTTCAAGGATGAGACAGATACTCTTGAAACTAAAGCATAATACACCTCCCCACCTGAATCATTCTCCACCTGCCCATGCAAAGGATCAAGATGCAAAAAGCAGTAATAGTCCTGTAACGGCTGGTCCTCCTGTCACAAGCACCCCAGAGGCAGTAGTTGCTGCTTAATAGTTTCATTTGGACATTAGTCATCTTCTGTAATCAGAACTATCTAAGAGTATCTTGTTGGTATTATGATGTTTAGCCGTTGGTCATCACCAGTAGGGTTTATTTGTTTGTATGATGTTACAAATTAGAGTTTCTCTATGCATGAAACTGTGTCTTTCAGACGGGATGTATACCGAGTTATAGAATTCCATTTCGAGTTCCGGTTTTTCCTCTTTCTTTTATACCTTTGAGGATAAGCCCGAGCCTCAATGTAAAGTTTGCGTGATGCTGCTTTCCCACTACGTAGGAATGATCTCATCTCAGGACTTGTAAATCCAGGAGCAGCTCTTACCAAGGGAACTGTAACAATCAGCCCAACGGTTCTTTTCATGCTTTCCAGACGAAAAAAAAAAGGGTCAGAAGTCCAAATCATTGAAATGGTCGTTGTCCTGGATTTTCTGGTAGGGCATATCCATCACTGGACTTGTTGCAAATCTTCCAGAATTTGAAGGTCCAGGTCAGTCTACTTTTAATTTGTTTCTCTTTTGGAATGAAAGGACCAAACACTTCTGTTGCAGATTTCTGCTGAAGAATTCTTGATATTATGCAGAGTTATGACCCACAGGTTTGCTGAATGCCCTTGTTCAAAGATTATTACTATTCTTTTTGCATTCCCTAAAATGGAAAACTGCAAACTCATTTGATGGGTGGTTAGATGTGGTCCAGCTTTTATACTCTGCCATACTTAGAAATATTCTCCTACATGAAGGGCCAACCATTTTTATCTTCGCTTGGGAAATTGGATACTTTTGTCTATTAGTCACTTTCCAGACCAAATGGAATGCCACTTCCTGAATAGTCTTGCAGGGCAATAATACAGCTTCACAAGCCCTTGAATTATCTTGCGAATTGGGGAATCTGAAAGAGCCTGCTTACATGCTAAAAGTTGTCAATCAGCTTTCAAGCTTTTTATGATATAAGACAACATTTCAAACACCATGATGAAGTATCATTAAGGACTTGGTTCTTTGATTATGATTACAATACTTAAATCCGAGCCAGAAGCCATTTCTAAAATACTGTTTTTAATACTATTCATATAAAAATATTTCCAAAAATAAAATTTTATATGCATTTATTAAATGCTTCAAATCAATGCGTGACAATACACCTTCAAAAAATCTTTACCATATTATACATTATAATAAAAAGACGAGGATGAAACTGGCCGAGAGTGGCGGGGTATTTGCATCTTTTATGAGCTTCAGTTTTATCTAGAAAAGACCTTCATTCCAAATTGGGACAAGTTGGGAGGGAGATAGCTAATTTTCCAATTGGCAAGCTTTCACCATTTCAAAGCTAGTTCACATCAACTCACCGCGTAGGATTTGGAGAACAAAAATGCTTCGGATCTACCTTGTTTCCCTAATAATACATCGATCATGAATTACACAACAGTAAACAAATCTAATTAGCTTGACATTGATCTTAGAATAATGATTCTGACGTGGTTCCTCCTGGAAATTGGTTCTCTTCCAAATGTCAAAGATAGTAGATTTAAAACAATAATGAATGGCCATATCTCATATTTGTACACCCTTACCATCATCTGGCATGAACACTGGCAGGGGAGTTATTACCTCTCTCACTGCCAATATCATCTTCCATTTCACTCCCATCTAAACAAATGCCATTATTGTTGACACTAAGCTCTGAACTAGCATTACTGCTTGTAGCAAGAGGGGAATCCGAGACACTAATAGTTCTGCTTTGTGTAAGACCTGATCTTATACTGTACATAGATGATGCTGGAATATTCATCATCAATGGCCGTAAATTACCAGGAATGCTTCGCCTTATATCCTGCTCAAGATATATTGAAATCAGAGAAAGAATTAGTTTTTTCCCCTCAACCTTCAATTTCATAATGTATTAGCCCATAAAAGTTGAGACTGACATGAATAAACGAAGGATAAGCATGTCATCCACCTACAAATATGACTACTAACTAGAGGATTTGGGATACCTTGACAACAACATATTTAGATTGTTCTCTCACGTCATGAATTCTACTTCAAGCAATATAAAAGATAATTGCACAGAAAATTTTAGGAGATGCTTACCATATGCCTTATAGCCATATCCAATGATTTCTTTGAAAGTGTTCTTCCAAAGCCTGAACTATTTGGTGATGCAGACTTCCCAGACAAGTTACCATGAGGAGAATATTTATCATCTTGCTTGGGTGGTACCAGTTTCCGCATGTTTATCACCCTCTCAACCATTTTATTTCCAATTACAACAGGGCTCAAGTTGTCACTAACTTTGGAATACCCACGACTTACTGCAGGAACAGAGCTCCCACTGACATGGAGCATAGCATCATTAGGGCAACGTCCTCTTGAAGGAGAGCATGATTGTCGTCTTGGTCTACCACTAGGACCTGGTTCAACAGAAGAAGATCGAGAACTTGGCACTCCAGGCCTACCTCTTGTGGCTGAAAGTGGTCTATCAGGTAATGTTGTTCTTAAATTTGGTGGAGCATCAAGCGAGAAACCAGGCATCTCAGAAGGTTTCCATGGTCTAGATTCTACCATTGGAGAGGCACCACGTGATGGTATAGAATTTCTGGATGCTGCAGGAGTTGGCTTTGTAACTGAAGGAGATGATTTAATTGGAGGAGCAGATATATTAGGAGCACTTGATGGAGCTGATGGTCGATGAGTTGGTGTGGCTGCTCTTGATACAGGTTTGGATGAAGGTATAGAAGGCCTTGCAGTTGGTGTTGAATACCTAGCTGTGGACCTTGTCGGTGTGGAAGATCTTGCAGAAACTGTGGGTTTAGTTGCAGAAGATGCAGTCCTGGCTGCAGAAACTGTGGGCTTAGTTGTGGACGCTACAGGTTTAGTTGCAGGCTTAGCTGCAGATGTTACAGGCTTACTTGCAGGAATTGAGGGCTTAGTCGACGGTAATGTAGCCCGAGTTGTCGGTGTTGATGATCTCATAGGTTTAGATGCTCCAGTCAATGTAGGGCGTCCGGTGGGTGTTGAAGGTCTTGAACCTGGACCCCCTGATGACGAGGGCCTGAGAATCCCTATAGAATTCAACCCAGGGGGCAAAGCCAGTTGCTTCGGTGTTAAGTGGCCCCTGGCAGCAGAGTCTGGCTGGGGATTTGCTAGCTATAATGCAATGAACAAAAATTGATTGCCAATAAGTTCATAAACCCAATCATCAGAACAACTTGAGTCTAAAAACATAATAAAACCATGGAATAACCCTTTTGGAATTTTAAAATTAAAAGTACCTTTGAAAATACAGATCATCCATAATATTTTAACAGGTACACAGATTTTAAAACTTCAAAATGTTTCCTAAATTTGGGCATTAAAGAGTTATTCCAGCTAAGGTGCGAAACAGTACTAATTAATTTTAATGGCAAGTCACAAACAAACATAGAGAAAGTTAGATTTATGAGTTCCAAGATAACGGTCAGTCATCCATCTTGGTTCCTAGTTTAAAAAAAAAAAAAGGGTCTTTCGGGTAGATAAAACAATTAAGAGCCTTTCAATTTTTCTGATCCAAAGGAGTAGTGGGAAATAATCAAATTCACTGCAAAATGGCCAATACAGGGCTAATCTTTGCTCAAAACAAGGTCTGTAAGGGAATCAGATTCGCATTTAATAAATGTGGGACGGGATAACTTTCTATTTCCAATAATTACTATATCATGTACTTAAATAACCCAAAATTTTCAAAAGGTGTGTAATCCATATTATAGCATTAAGAAAATTTTCATACTCTAGATTTAAGGGCAGTCAGCTGAGCCTTAGGAGTGCCAATCTGACTCATTACAGTCTTTTGTGACTCCATCTCCAAGGAAGGAAAAAGAGGAGTACCAGGAGGTGTTAAAAGCCTGAAATGGAAAAGAATATCTGTTAATACTGTCATATTAAAAGAAAGTATTTTCACTTAATCACATTCATGTGGGAAAAAGAAAGGATTAGTGCAAAACTGAAGCAAGTGTAAGACCTTAACACATCTTTCAATAGATGGCGGGAATTCATCCAAAAACTTTTACAATATAAAAGTTTTGGAATCAAAACCCATACTTCAAAATCCTTTAGCATTCTTAACGTCAAGGATATGCCTATCTTAAGATTCACAACATGAAGTCATGGATCGTATTGTGAAGCTAAGAATCTGACCATGAGACCAGAAAAACATGTAGAGAACAAAAGTTCACTTTTTCAAAGTTTCAATAAATTAAGAATTTCTTCTAAACTTATTACAAATTTAACTTCCCTAACAGACCATCATTATAGCAGATGTCAAGAGTTTCAGTCCTCGAAGCAAAATGAGTAAAAGCTCACTGAAGTTGATCAAATTTTGGTTAGACCTTGATTCACACGAGCCACCAAGTATCAGTTCTTCCCGTCCTCACTGCAGGCTTCAGCCCCACCAAAACAAGAAGTTTCCCGTCCAGTCCTTTTCTTGGGACCATTTCTCTATTTATATCAAAGCATCGAAAGCTAATTACAAAATAATCTACGAAATTGTTAACTAAACCTTTGGCATTGATGTTGAGCATTTGCTTTGTTTTGGAAGTATGGAACATAACATTTTGAGGCAAATAGCCTAGATTTGTCTACGAAGTAGCATCTACAATCTACAATCCTTCTAACTTCTCTTGGAGAAAAGAAGAAAAAGCAACAAGTAAAAGGAATATAATAGAATTCATAAAACATGTCATCTGAACATGATCAAATTGGAGTGTGAGAAATGAAAGGAATCAAGTTTTTAACAATGAAACATAATTCAACTCAATTAAAAGAGCTAGGAAGTGCAGTTTCAGTTCCCAGTACAAGACTGCAATTAATTCATTATACATCCAAAGAAACCATAACAAGTCATCATCAATAATCTTCAATGCAGCCAAAACCAAAAGCAGCCACCAAAGTTTAGAAAATATAAATGCTCTAATTGCAACTAGTGACCCCAGGGCACATGTTAAAAACGCTCATCACAACCATCAAATTATTAACTTTAATCAATCACACATGTCATCAATAATTATCATCCCTCTTTCTTGTTCTTTTCCTCTCTCTTCCTATTGCCTTATTAATCCTTCAGCCAAATTTAAGTAAATTAACTGAAACCTACCATTAAATCATAAAAAAATACACCCATACACAAAACTAAGCTAAGCATGAATATGATTCATAAAATTAAGACTTTGTTTGGTTGTTCCTATTGCTTTTGCCTTTTTGGTAATTACTCTTTATAGTTCTTACAAGAAGCTACAATAAACCAACATTATGATTAATTAAAAATAAAGAAATGACTAAATTTTAAAGCCAATCTAACATAATTATTCCCTTCTCAAAAAAAAAAAAAAAATACATTTTTAATTCTTCAAAAAAAAAATTTCACTTCTAAATTGAAAGGCGCTTTTTTGCATTTTGCTTTTCAAACAATACCTACGTTAATAAATTTAAATTTAAATTTAAATTTAAAGAAGAAATAAACAAACAAACTACCAGTCATAGTGATTTCTATCACTATCAGAATTAAGGAAATCATCAGCAGCAGCACCCGTCTTTCTCGCCGGAGTAGTTGTCGAAGCAGAAAGATTCAATATTGGTGAAGTTCCAGGTTTAGATCCTACGATTTCCAAAAATTACCAAATTACCACAACAAATAAGAAGTCGAAAATGAATCACGAAAACAACACCTAAGAAATTAAGAAATGTTTAATACTTTACCTAAAGCAGCATCAAAGTCTTCGGAGGAGTGATTAAGAAGAAGATTACTCTGTTCTTTCTCACGTTTTCGCATCTCGAGAAACAATGCGAGCTCTTCTTCTTTCTCTTTCATCATCGAAGCTCTTAATTGTTGACGTTGTTTCAACGCCGCCGTTTGCATTGCCGTTTCTTGCTGAGCCCCAAAGCTCCGGTTCATCTTCAGCTCCTCAAAATTATCCTCACAGATCAAAGAACTCTAAACGCAGTGTTTGAAAGAGTTACGTTGAGCTTCGGAGCTGGAAATGCGAAACGTCATTGGAGGGAGAAGGAGGGAAGAGGAAAATGACGACGGTGGGCGTAGCGAGAATGTAAATGAGGGGAAGGAGGGAGGGGTGAAATAGGAAGAGAATGGAAAATCTTGAATGACGCGACAACTGAATCTAGAGCCCTTTGTTTTCTCTCACTTAAAGGCCACGTTTCAAGATACGGGAAGCCTCCATTTACACATTAAAAAAAAACAAAAACCCTCTCCAGGCCATAAATTTTTATTCGATAAATTTCATAAATATATTTTATCATTAAAGTTGAAATGAAAGTATTTTTAAATTTTAAAACACGATATTTAATTATCTTATATAACTATTTCATTATCACTTGTAACGTCGGTAATTCAACTTGTCTCTTACGAGTTTTGATTCGATCTAATCTTATGAGATTGATTTTTTTTTTTTAAATTCGAGTTTCGAGTCGGATCGGATAAGATAAGAAAACAATCGGGGTCGGATTAAGTTCAGATTTTAGGCAAACCTGACCAGATCCGATATTATATAAAAATTTATTTTTTAATTAATTTTTTAATTTTTTATTTATATATATATTTATTAATGATATTTTTAAATATTTATATTTAAAAAATAATATTTTATATTTTAAAAAATAATATTTTATTAATTTCAGGTCAGGTCGGATACGGTTTATATAGTATCGGGTCGGGGTCGAGTTCAGGTATGAAAAAAGAAAAAAAATTTCGGGTAGAGTCGAGTTCGAGTTTAATAACATATAAAATCGGATCGAGTTCGGAGCGAATTTTTCGACCCAATGCCAACCCTAATCACTTGCTTAACATTATTAGAAACAAAATGATCAAATTATCATATGTATGACACAAGTTATGAATAAGAAATAAAAGCATTCGAATAGTTAACAAAAAATTAAATAAAACTTTCTTCAATCAATTTGATCGTCGTAGAAAAAATTTTTCATTCAATAATCAATCATCAAAATCAGTCAATTATTAACAAAGAAAAGTGTTTGAGCTGGTGATTAAAATCAAGATTTAAGTTTGGAAGTGAAATTGTTTTTATGTTTGGAATAAGTGAAATTTGGGCACGGTTTGAATATATTTCGTTAGATTCACACAATCAAATAAGGTATATACAATTCTCTCTTTAATTTCAATGCAATTAGTTTTAGGTTAATGTTAAGGTTCGCAAGTTTCATAAAAAACATTTGGGGATTTTTTATACTAAATTTCATATTAGAATCAATTAAGGGTTTTTGAAATTTTGAAATGTTATTAACTTTATATCAGCATCAATTTGTTATACTTAATTTCATATCAAAATCAATTGTAATTTCACTAAAAATCAAAATTTTATTTTGCTACAAATGTGGAATGCCAGCAAAACTATTGAGTTTTATCATAATGGTTTGTTTATGCATATTCCTAACAAAGTTTGGGTAGGAAGGGATGTAATATGGGTGGATGCTTATACTTTAAATAGGTTGTTATTTTTTCAGTTGCAAGATTGGGTTATTAAATTGGGGTATGAGAGTACTAATGACATATTTTATTGTATTATAGGCTAGCACTTAATAAAGGGTTGAAATGTGTTCATTCAGATATACATGTTAAACATACAGTTTTATGTCATCAAAAGAAAAGAACCATTCCAATATATGTTGTATCAATTCAGCCTTCTTTTTTGCTATATATCCATGTACACCATCTGAGAATGAAAAAGAGATACAAACAATGAGATCTATTCAAGAATTTGTAGCTAAAGATAATACTATGAAAAATAATGGTGGAAATGATACTGCTAATTTGGCAGAAAACAATGGTGGAAATGATACTACTAATTTGGAAGAAAGCATTGGTGCTAATGAAGTTGATGATGGTACTTGTAATAAAGCAAAAAAAAAAATGATGCAAATGAGATTGATAATGGTATTGCTAATTTGGCATAAGATTGTGGTGCAAATGAGACTAAAAATAATGCTCAAAATATTGGTGAATATGCTGAAAATGATGAAGAGAAAGATGGTGAAGACAGTAATGAGAATGATAGTGACTATCATGCAAGCAATGAATATGATAGTGATGGATATTCTAGTAGTGATCCTAACTGCTTTGATGAAGAAATAGGGGCTAATGATATATTTGAGGATTATGAAATTGGTGGTCTTAAGAAAACAAAAAAATCTAGTACTACACAATATACTATTGGGAGGTTAATTGGAAATATTGTTTTACTCAAGGATGTAATGATAGATGATGGTGATCTATACAATGTTCATGGATCTGATGAAAAAATAGATCATTACATAATGTTCAATGAAAAAGGTTGATATCAAAATCTGCAGTTAAAGGTTGGATTAAAATTTATTAATGGCACTATAAAAGGGTATTAAAAGAGTATTATGTTTGTAGAAGTTATGACTACAAGTTTAGAAGGAATGATAGAGATAAAATTAGTATTGTTTGTGTCAAGGACTATGGATGAAAAATATATGCATTTAGGTTGAGAGAAGATTGTGCCTTTTCAAATAAAGACTTTTTAACCAAAGCATAATTGTTTAAGGGAGTTCAAAATTCACCAAGTCACTACACATTATTTGGCTAAGAAGTTTTTTGATGATTTGAAGGATAAACCCAATTGGGAAACTACAAAGATAGTTATAAAGATTTCCAAAGAATTAAATATTGAAGTTAGTTTCCCTCAAATATATAGAGCTAAAAGAAAAGCTAGAGAAATGATGGAATGGGATAACAAGTTACAGTATTTGAAGTTGTTTGATTATTGTGACATGATTTGAGAGACCAATCCTGGCAACTATCCATTTATGAAAATGAAAAGTTAGTATTTTGATGCAGCCACTTGTGTTCCTAAATCCTTTATTCCTAAGTTTATATAGTGTTTATATCTAATCAACAAAAGCTATTAATTTATTTCTTTTTTTTTTGTAGGATTTAGACTAAACATTTGAAGAAATGTACCCTCAAGTTGAACATAGGTTCTGTTTGAGGTATTTGTATATAAATTTTAAACTTCACTTTAAGGGAAAACTATATAAAAAAAGGCTTTTTGGAAGGCAACAAGTGTGGGGTCAGTGAAAAAATAGGAGAAAGTTATGTTGGTGCTAAAAGAGCTTGACAAAGTAAGGGCAACACATGCTTAAGTGAGTAGATTAAATCTAAAAACTTAAACAAGATCTCATTTTAACTCTAAAACAAAGATTAATTTAATGATGAATAATCTTAATGAATCTTTCAATACTTATATATTGAAGCTAAGGATGCCTATCCTTAGCATGTTAGAGTGGATAAGAAAAAGATTGATAAAAAGTTTCCATTTTAAAAAGGTTGATATGGAGTCTTACAATGATCTTTTATGTACAAATATTCAAGACAAGCTTGAGCACATTAAAAAAGACTATTTTACTTGCTTTTTTGTTCTTGCTAGTAGGTCTATATATGAAGTTTAATGTGATACAACTTCTCATATTGTGAACTTGGTTGAACAAAGTTGTACTTGAAAGGTTTGAGATTTGACTAGAATCCCCTATAAACATGTTTTTGCTATTTACAGTAATAGAAAGAGACCAGAATCCTATGTCTATTCTTACTATTTTAAGGAGACATATATGACTACATATGATGCCATTATTAATCATATTTCAAGACAACATGAATGGACTATTGATAGTAACCCTACTTTTGTCCCTCTAATCATATATAAACCACTAGGTAGACCAAGAAAGTTAAGAAAGAGAGCACCTAATGAACCATAAAATCATTACAAAATGTCACGAAAGAACAAGCTAATTAGATGTGGTAACTATGGTAAGGTTGGAGATAACATTAGATGTTACAAGGCATTGATGGTTTGAGAGATCTCATGGCAAAGAGGGATGAAGTTAAAAGGATTAAACAAAGTTCATCCTCAATCTACCAATCTTTAGGTAATTTGCTTTTTTAATATAAATTGATCTTCATATATTAATTTTAACATAAATAAAGTGTATTTTAGAGGTTGATCATAAGACAAATGGTATATCTTCTTTAAGAACAAATACATCTATAGCTAAAAGTAGATCCAGAGAAAACCCTATTACTAATGTTGCTATTGGAATTAAGTTACAATTAAATATTACTAGAATAATGGATGATGGCAGAAGTTCAAAATAAAAACATCTGGTATTGGTTGTCAATATGCTAAAAATGTTAGATAAAAAAATGTTGAAAATATTGGTAAAAGAAGAGGTAATGCTAGAAATGTTGACAAAAGAAGTGGTGATTAAGAAGAGATCATATTAGAAATATTGGTAGAGAAAGAGGTCATGTCAGGGCTAAAGTTGCTCCAATCAAAATAATAGGTAAGAGTAGTACCTCAAGCTGTACTGATGGTCAAGTTGCTAATTCTCAAGCATCTAGCAATCCAAATGTTTACAGCCAAACAATTAGTAGCCCAACAACTAGCAGTTAAGCAACAAACAGCCAAGGTATTTGGGTGTAATTTAGAAAAGGTTTATATATGCTATTCTAGGATGATGCATTGAATGTATGCTATTTGACTTGTTTGTGTTATAAACTGATGTGATTTAGAAGCTTTTTATTTTTATGTATAGGTTTGTGTGATGTATAGGCTTTTTATTTTGCATTTTATGCTGATCTTATAAACTGATGGCTTATTTTTGTTCAATAGAAATAATGATAGTATGTTTTTGTTCAAAAGGAATGTGGTACTAGAAAATGGCCATATTTTTTTCAATAGAATGGGTTTTGTTTTTTTGCAATAACAATGCTAGCTTTCTGCAAGCTGTATTTTGGATTATAATTGTATAAATGGATGTGGTCATTTTTACAATTCTGATATTATGTAAAGGCTATTTTCAAGGCTATTTTCTGCAATTGGAATGTGACTTTTGTTTACAAGGATATTTTTTACAATAGAAATGCTAGCTTTTTGTAGGTTGTATTTTGAATTATAATTGTATAAATGGATGTAGTCATTTTTACAATTCTAACATTATGTAAAAGCTATTTTCAAGGCTATTTTTTGTAATAGGAATGTGACCTTTGTTTACAAGGTTGTTTTCTGCAATAAGAATGCTAGCGTTCTACAAGCCTTATTTCCTTAAACTACTTTAAGAACTTACCTACTTGGTTGAAAATAGTATAATGCAAATTTGTA